GACTGACGCCTCCTGTCACATGCATGCCGACTCTTTATGAACACAAGTATCATGTTCTGCTAGTCTCTATATATCGACTACAATGGATATAGCCATGTAGTAAAGTATAATAGAAAGTATTTGCACCATTTACAACCTATACATATTTCTTACAAGCAAAAAATCGTATGCCCATCAAATGAGCATTATTTTTACGCGCCCTTATAAAGTTGCTCTTAGAAAAACACGCTGGTCGGAGTGTCGTCAAAAGATAATGTGTACGAGGACGTTGGCAGTAATATTAAGCACGAAAAGAAATAAAAAAAATAAATGAAATAAAAATGAAATGGAAAAATGAGATTATATTTTCACTCGCAGATCAATGATTAACTTTGACGCAACAGGGCAAGGAGTTACAAGGAAAAGACTAGGGGTTACTCCGAGTCGCACCGCCCGTTCTTGGAATGCGCCATGTATCCAACTTTGACGTAAAATCGCAATAATGCTTAGGTTCCACCTGACCTACACATTAAGTTACCAATAGTTCAAGCTATTGGTAACTTAATGTGTAGCTGTTGTTACCCTCCCAGACAATCTGGTACCACAGTCAAAACATTAAAGGCTCAGTTAGCTGATTCGGGGCTGTACAGGATTTAATTTCCGGGCAATGCTTGAAACGGCGTCACTAGTACAGCTTAATCTCCACACTGTAGTAGACAAAAAGGATAGCCTTACCGTGCCCAGTAAACCTATTGAACTGTAAAAGTAAGATCCACGTACTAAGCCTCACTTTAATTCCTAAAAAAACAGTCATGTCATCCCAACGTACCTCTTTTGTGTTTTTTAGAAGAGCAAGGCGAAGCGAATGAGCATTTCATAAGAGCATAATAAACGCTCTGTGCTATAAAAGTGGCATCTCTTATGTGGGACGTTCTTCGGCATTCTGCCCTTTAGTAGAAGGTTTTGCCCAATTTGAGCAGGAAGGCTACCCCTTCGTAGACGGAGAGAAGAATTCTTCTGTCTACTACTACTGCCCTGAACTGGAACAGTAGGTGTATTCACTGACAGATAAACGCGACCTCGTTTTCCACTCAATTTAGGATGCTTGTGAACCCGGTCTCTCTTCCTCAAACCCTACGGTCAGACACAAGCCACATTTACAACATCTCCACCGCGATTTTTTTTTACCAGTGGCGACCCATTTTGGAGATGACCTTCAGTTACATTGAGAGAAGAAATATTGAAGAGAGATTTGTAATTTCAAAAAATCGTGTCTGCAAAGTATTCTTTCAGAAGAAAGGAACATTAAACAACCTCCTTGTAGGGCTGGACAACTTCCGGAGACATAATTTGAATGGAAAAGTATCGGTTGCTTATTCGAAAAAGGAATATTTATTTATTTATTTATTTATTCAATACACCGAAAAGGTGTGCACAGAATGAAGAACAGAATTTGTTAAATAACCAGTTTATGATACAAAAAAGTGAAAGAAAACCTCGACATGCCGTGAGGACAGCTCACGAGGTAGAATTATCGCTGCGATACTTTAAACATAGCACCACCACGCGGAACATTGGAAAGTTTCTCGATGTTATTCACTTTTACTGTGGCTTTCTCAATAAGATGCACTGCGAACTCTAATAAGAACTCATGCATCTTAGCACTAAACAAAAAATAAAATCCAGTTCAAACTTCACATAATATGAGTTTAATACCAGCTGTTCATCTCGACGCGAGGAAGCAAAAACCGACAGCATGGCTTGAAGCTATTATTTAATGAATCGAGATGAATGAACATATGGAATTTAATAAACCATTCAACGTTCCTTGATCGAAACTGCACATGTTGCAAGATGGACAGGAAACAGCTAACCAAAAAATATCGGAAAGGAGAGCTCATAAAAATATCCCACCTGTAGGTGCGTAATGGCATCGGAGTCGTGAAAACCTTGTTTTTCTAGCTCATTCATGATACGCTCGCAGAGGAATAACACATTACGAGACACCAACTGCTCTTTGGCCCGTTCGAAAATAAAAATAATTGGTATCTGTTAGGCAAATCGAATGGAGAGGAAGACACTCACTGTTATTGCAAAGCAACCTGAGAATAGCAAGAGTAATCAGGCAGATTTCAATATGAATGTCGACAGCGTCGAGGGCCAGTTCGGAAGAAGTCCTCCACGATGAGTGCCGTTCAAGGAGTTGCACAATACAGCTTACGATGTTTTCACCAACCAGCAGAATACGAGCTTTTCCTTTAAAAAAAGATGATGAATTGAGAGCCGAGTAATGAATCACGACATTCTGAGCACATTGGAAAAAGGCGTTTCTTTGGATATTTGTAAAGTAGTAGCAGCGTAGTGAAAGAGATGAAAGAACGAGGTCCGTTTCAGCAAGGACGGAGGCTAAATTATTTTTTGTGATGGAACTGGCAGCAACAGGAACTCTAAGCTTCTTCCAGTTCGTCAGCTGTCACGAGTAACAAGTGTCCACTGGACACCACGAATTATGTAAACACGGGACGGAGAAGGTCACTATCAACAGATAAATTTTTCACCGTTAGGCTTGGGTAGTTCAAATAAAAGGTATAAAATTCAGATAGTACTTACTGTTTTTACTGACGAAGTAGAGAACTTCGAGATATCGAGCCAGCAGATGACACTGATGTAGTTCCTTGCACTTCAATGAAGATATCCGTATCAACAGACGGGCAGCAAATCCTTTATGACGACCAGCTAGCTGTGCATTTCTCGCTTAAAAAGACGACATGAGCGCCCACAGCGACGACAGCGTGACAATCATGTATGCCGCCTTTCTCGGGCCACGTGGGACATTGTGGCAACTCTGTGTGCCGCGCCCATAGCATTAAGTATTTGCGCATGCCCAATTGCTTACAATGATTTTGTGTCCATTCT